TAGACCCTTCATCAGATGAAGGGTCTAGGCCCGAAACGTCAGCCTCTCTGCTCCTATGATGCTGCTTGGCCTGCTGTGTTCATCCAGCCCTGCACCTTGTTGTCTCGGATTCTCCAGCATCTGCAGTTCCTACTATCTATGTAAAACCATATTCTGTGTTGTTTTGTAAAGGAGATGTGTTCAGCAAGAAACTTGAATCTATAGATGAATTGCTGACATTTTGAGCTGAACAAAACTGCTAATTTCATAAACAGCAGAAAATTTTGACAACTAAAAAATGACTGGTAGATGAAAGGTGAACTACACCCAAATAAAGCAGAAGCAATGAATGTTGTCAGTAACAGATTCATGATCATTTACTTGAAGCACATGCAGGGTGTTTGTTGAGTAACTAGCACATGCTGCAGGACTGATGTCAATGCAGCATGATGCCACACAGTGATATGTCCACCCCTTTTGATTATTTGGTGCTCTGCACTGTGGCACGTTACCTGCCTCTCCCTTGGCACTAAAATGCAATGATAATCACAGATACTGAAAGCCTGTAACTGAACACAATAGGTCCACTGCGCTAACAAAGCAATGCAAGCTAGCCCATAAATCGGTGATGAAGTTAGTGAGTGCATGCTAAGAAAGCAGCATGAATTGGAAAGAGGCTGGCTACCTCCAAGTGAGTGAGTGTTGAGAAATCAAACATAAACCTATAAGATGCATCCTGTGCAGATGCTGGAGAATTGTGTATCCCTGCATACAATGTGACCTGGCAGAAACATGCAGATCATAGATGTCTTGAATTTCAATGTAAAGTGTTGAAGGGTTAAAGTGGTGCGTGAGCTTGTCAGAGAGCAGGTTACGATCAGGCTGATAGATTGCCGATGGTAACTTTTGTGTGGACAAAGGGCTGAGGAGAATGGTTACCATTGAGAATGCTGGGACTTTGTTCTTGAGAAGCAGTGGCAATATGGCTGGGACAAGCATTTGGTGAGCTGTGGTTGCCAGGTTCTCATGCTCACTCGCTCGTTTTCCCTCTCTCTCTCGCTCTCTGTGATTTACATGTCCAGGATTTGCAATGTCTAATTTCCTAATGAAGGATAGCAGAATTGTGAGTGGCATATAAATAATGCAAGTTAGAGCTTTGAAGGAGGATCATTGGACTCGAAGCATTAACTCTGCTTTCTCTCCACAAATGCTGCCCAACCTGCTGAGTTTTCCCAGCAATTTCTGTTGTTGTTGTTGTTGTTGTTGTTGTTTCTGATTCCAGCATCACAGTTTGTTGTTTGTTTTGTTTTTCAAGCTTTAATGGATGCAAATGCATGGGCCTAAGATAGTCATTGCTCAGTAGCAAGATTAGGAAGTTGTCACAAAAGACATGTGGAAAATTGAAAAAATACTTATTGATGTTGAGAATCTCTTTTTCATTTTTACAATACTCTCCTGTCTTTCTTGCCATTACGCATGCGACACCAGGGAGGGAAAATTCCACGTTATTTTCTTTATGTGCAGGGCAACTGATAAAATGTTGATCATAACTTTGTTAGGTTATGACAAGTTGTTGACAACGTTCAACACTCTGAATGTAACTAATCGTTTTGCATGCTCTCGGGGTTGGTTTTGGCTCACAATGTCTTTGGAGGTTGTGCCTGCATTAGTTTTTAATTTAATGGCCATATTTACTATTTTGTAGCTTAGTATAATCAGTGCATGTCTGTCTCCACTTTTCTTGAAAATTAAACATGAACTAGGGAGCTCTCAAATATCTGTAGATGTTCAAAGAATAGTATATAGATACTTTATTGCCCCTTGATTGCCTGTTACTGCCGGAGGACACTCAGTGCTTTAGTAGCAATTGACTGTAAAGACTTGACATGGGATACTGGTACTTTGTTTCTTGCTGACTTATATAGCATACCAATGGCTGCTCGCATTAGCGTTTTATATAAGGGTTCAAAGGTGTTACAGTACGAAAGTCCATGCATCGAAGTTGGCAGACTAAATGAAGTTTGTATCGAATTTGTCTGTTCAGTTTAGAGCAAATAAAAGCTACATTTGAATTCCAGCCACATTCCTTAAATATTCCAGTACAGCCTGCTTCATATTTTTGAACTAATATTGATGTACACATATTTATTTATTGTCTTCAGCTGGATCGAACTTGGAACAGGAGAGTAAGAGGACTGCCCATTTCAAATCGTTATGGCAACAAAATGTAAATGTGTTCAGCTCCTCTTCCAGACCACCCTGTGTCGAGGAATTGCATCAAGAGGCACAGCTCAACCTTCAGGCTCTGCTTCAAGGTAAAAACAGACTGAAATCTAATGGTGTGACTTGTGATGGAAATGTCAGGTTAAACAGTTATATATAGATTTAGCTGTGTCAATTTTCAGGAGAGAGGGGGTAGAATGGCTCCATATTGTCAACTGCAGCAGCCAAGTAATTCTTTTGATAATTCTCTCCTCCCACTGTGATTACACTTGAACTATCTTGAATCCCTGCAGGTCATGTGGTGTACAGGACACCACAGGAATGTTGGGAAGGGAGTTCCAGGATTTTGAGCCAGCAACAGAGAAGGAATGGCGATAAAATTCCAAGTCAAAATGCTGTATGGTTTGGAGGAGAACCTGGAGGTGGTGGCACTCCCTTGAATTTACTGTAGTTGTCTGCTTTTGGTTCTGGAGATTGTGGCTTTGACAAGTGCTGACTAAGAAGCCTTGATGAGTAGCTGTAATGTACCATCTACAAAATACATGTACAATGCTGCCTCTCCTTCAGTGTAGGGACTGAATACTAACGATCGTGACTAATGTGGCAGTCAAACAGGTTGTTTGTCCCAGATGGTATCAATCTCTTGGGTCCACTTCTCTAGAAATGGAGAGTATTCCATCACATGCCTGACTTGTTGATTAATACACAGGTTTTGGGGATTCAGAAAGTTCATAGATGAAGCACCTGAAGATGATTGTGCCTAGGACACTACCCTGAGGAAATCCTGCACTCATTGCCAAGGCCTGAGATAGATGACCTCCACCAACCACAACGCCATCTTCCTTTGTGCTTGGTTTGACTCTGACCAGAGGAGGGACTTCCCCTGATTCTATAGAACCATAGAAAGGTTACAGTACAGAAAGAGGCTGTTCAGCCCATTGTTTCTGCTTCAGGCTAAAAAATAACCTAGTTACTATTCTAAATCTTTCCAGGCCCCCGGTCTGTATCCTTGCAGGATATAGCAAATTCAGGTGCAGATCCTGGTTCCTTTTAATCAAATTGAATGTTTCTGCGTACACCACCAAACCAGGCTGTGAATTCCTGCCATCCACCACACTTTTTTGTCTTCCCTAATGTTCCCTTTTGAAACTTCTCCCACTGACTTGAAGTCTATGTTGCTGGTAATTGATCTCTCCACTGGAGGAAACAGGTCATCCCTGTCAAGTCTATCTAGGTGTCTCATAATTTTGTGCCCCTCATTTAGTCATCCTTTAGTCTTCACTGTTGTAAGGAAGACAACTGTAGCCTATCTGCATAAACACCGAAAGAACTGTGGATGTTGTAAATCAGAAACAGCAAAAACGGAAATTGCTGGAAAAGCTCAGCAGGTCTGGCAGCATCTGTGGAGAGAAATCGGAGTTAATGTTTTGGGTTGAGTGACCCTTCCTCAGAACCAAGATCGTACACAGAATTCTAGCTTGGCCTAACCAGAATTTTATACAGCTTCTTAATTTACATCCCTGCATTTGTATTCCATACCTTGTTGAATAGAAGAACATAATACATATGCTTTCTTTATCACTTTATAAATCTGTCATAAAGTCATACAGCATGGAAACAGTCCATGCCAAACATAATCCCAAATTAAACTAGCCCTACCTGCCTGCTCCTGGCTCATAACCCTTCAAATCTTTCCTATTCATGGACTTATCCAAGTGTCTTTTAAACATGGTAATCCACCACTTCCTCATGAAGATCATTCCACACGCAAACTATCCTCTATGTAAAATATTTGCCCCTCACATCTTTTTTTAAATCTCTCTCCTCTCACCTTTAAAAATGAGTCCTTGAAATCCCCCATCCTAGGGAAAAGGCACCTACCATTAACCCTAGATAACAAGGTGTAGAGCTGGATGAACACAGCAGGCCAAGCAGCATCAGAAGAGCAGGAAAGCTGACGTTTCGGGTCGAGACCCTTCTTCAGAAATCTACATTAACCCTATCTCTACCTCTTATGATTTTATAAATGTCTATAAGGTCACCTTTCAACCTCCTATGCTCCAATGGAAAAAGATCTCAGCCTATTCAGCCTTTCTTTATAACTCAAACCTGCCATACCTGGCAACATCCTGGTAAATCTCTTCTGAACCCTCTCCAGCTTAATAATACCCTTCCTATAACTGGGCAACCAAAACTGGACAGAGTATTCCAGATCAGGCCTCACTAATGTCCTGTACAACCTCAACAATGACTTCCCACATATCCCAGCATACTTGTCCGTATAATTGAGCTACCCTTCCATGCCTTAACTTTATTTCACTTGTACAACAATGGTTTTTATTTCACTTATGTTACTTTTGACAATATTTCAGTTTTGCTAGCACTTCTTGATGCCATACCTAGTAAAATATTGCCTTGATATCAAGGGCAGACATTCATACGCTTGCCTTTGGAGTTCACCCTTTTGTTCCAAGTTTGGACCAAGGCTGTTATATAGTTAGAAGCTGAGTGGCTCGAACAGAACCCAGGGCACTAGTGTGCACACTAATACTGAGCAAGTGCCACTAGACAGCAGTGCCAACCAGCCCTTCCATCACTTTGCTGATCATCAAACAGACTGATAAGGTGGTGATTAAACATGTTAGATTTGTCCTGATTTTTGTGGACAGGACGTACCTGGGCTGCTTTCCATATTCCTAGGTAGATGACTGGAACAGCTTGGCTAGGGATTCGGCTAATGCTGGTAAAACAAGTCTTCATCACAAATGCCAGAATGTAGTCAACACCTACACATTATCCCCTACCTTAAGCCACTCTTAGATATTACATGGAGTGAATCAAATTAGCAGAACATTGGCATCTGTGATTCTGGGGACTTCAGGAAGAGGCCAAGGTCAGTCACTATTTGGCACTTCTGGCTGAAGGACAAGCTACTGTAACCATACTGAGCTTGGCGTTGCACTGATGATCGGTCTTTGCTGCTTCTTTCTCCAGGATCCTAATCCCAGCTGTAGCACCATGAAGCCCTGCCCTGATAAGCCAGAAATCATGTGATACAGTGCTAATTGAAGTAGTATTTGTGTTTTTGATAATGGTTTCCAACATGGGTCCATGACAGTCTGTACAGACCTTCTGGAGGTCTGTAACACAGGGCGGGCCTCAAGTGTATGGGAGACCATATAAGGGGTGATGATTGAGAGCAACTGAGAGTGGTGACCAGTGTCATACTCAATTCAGGTTTCCCTCCCAGACTTCCACCACTGTCTGCTTGCTCCAACCTTGCCAAATCTTCCACTCCCTCCGTGCAATCTCGCTCTATGTGCACTCCCACTCTCTCTCCCTGTGCTCCTGCACGCTTTCCATCCCCGCTGCCTGTGATCCCATGCTCACTGTACTCCCACTCTCTGGGCTGCTCTCTCCAGGTGTTGCTCTCCTCATGCCTCTGCTGGTTCCTGGATTCTTGTTTTTTCAGGCTCTGACATTCAGTGATCCTTCTTTGTCTTGTTGTTGCCAACAATAAACAGACTGTACAGTAAGACACAGGAAACCTGAATCTCAGAGTGACAACCTGTTTTCTGAGAAGCATCATTAAAACACTATTTTACCATAATTCTACAACAATGGCAGTTAACTATTACAAGTATGTTTTAATATCATCATTTAGCTGGCGAGTTCGTGGTTACTAAATGAATTTTAAGTGATCCTCTGACATAAAAAAAATTAAGAACAACCCACATTGCGTATCAGGACTCGGATGGTGGACAAATATGTTTTTATGCTAAATATAAGCAAAATACTGTGGATGTTGGAAATCTGGAATAAAATAGTCAATAGATCCAGAAGCGTCTCTGGAGAGAGAATCAAAGTTAATGTTCCATGTCTGTGGCCATTCATCAGAACTGGGTAGAGTTAGAAATATAATTCAGTGTATTGTATTCACTGCGCATTTTGTGGTCTGCTGTACTGGGGAAACTATGTGCAGATTGGGTGACAATGATGCAGAAAATCTGATTTCCCAAATGTTATCCCGAGCCATTTGTTGCCTATCTTTATAATTCTGCCCTTTTTCTTCAGTGTGATATTTCTTCAAGATAGAGTTTAACAATTCCAAACCATAATATCTACCCCATTTTGTTTCCTTTACAGGTTTTGATTTTATTTTTGTTTGATCTGTTCTTGTTTTTCATTCATCATCGTGCATTCTCTTTCTTCCTTGTTTTAGTTCCATTACCTGCACGATCAACACTTTGGTCATTTAGTCTCTCCTGTCTTTAACATGACCAATAATCCTCGTTCTTCTTTTCCCTACCCACCCCTTTCATTTGCTGAAAATGTGTTACATTTCTAACTTTTCCTGGATGTTATGTAAGGTCAATGAGATGTAAACGTGATTTCTCTCTCCGGATTCAGTATCACCTGCTGCGTATTTCCCAACATTTTGGCTTCTTGTATGGTAATTTGCATCATTCTTCTTCCATACTCCATTGCACATGTAAATATAAATAGATCATCCTACTAGTCGAAAGATGTACAGCTTAGGTGGATTGGTCATGCTAAATGCAGAGTTAAGGGGATAGATTAGGGGGCTGAGTCTGGGTGATATGCTCTTCAGAGGGTTGGTGCAGACTTGATGGGCAAAATGGCCTCTTTCCACATTATATGGATTCTGTGAAAGTTATTACTTTAGACAGCAGCGGTTTAGGGTTTGTGGAAGCTTGGCTGTGAATTTTGTTAAGTCCCTAAAACATTACAGGGATTGCGATGTACGATTAACCCATGTTCATTGTTTCTGATGAAGGCAGGGTGCCAACTTCATGCTGCCTGCTGGTTACCCTGATTTGGAGTGTGCCGCCAGCACCATTGCAGTGTAGAGTAGTTGCACTCCTTAACAGCAGACCCAAAATTATGAGAATCATTTAAAGTCAGCCTGCATTTCTTAAAGCAGAAATGCACTTTGACTGGAGTCAATCTACAACTGAGTCAGGCCTGGAAAGACACAATTTTAGCAAAAAAAAAAGCCGAGATGTACTGGAGGCTTTGGTTGAGGAAGTCCATATAAGAGCAGAGAGGGTGTGGAGCTGGAAGAAGCCAA